TGTTGGGGTGTGTGTGTGTGCACAAGTAACTGAACCTCACGGGCACTCTGCCACTTAACTACATCCTTATGATTTTTATTTTGTGACAGGGTCTCACTAAGTTGCCAGGCTGGCCTCAAATTTGGAATCCTCCTCTCTCAGCCTCCTGAGCAGGTGGGATAATGGGCTTTCACCACCTAACTCAGCTTTCAAGTGTCCCACCTGCCACCCACGTGCTGCACCTGTAATCCCAAGGCCATAGTCTCTGTTTGGGGACCAAGGAAAAGTTTGTGTTTTTCCCTGGCACTCTCCCTGCTGCATCTGTGTCTCTGGGCAAGTTCCTCTAGAGCACTCCGGATTCCATCTCGTATAATCCTAACTTCAAATTTAGGAAGTTATAGAGTGTTATTGGCTTTTTCCTTTGGAAACTAAACTTAAATATATTTATTATAAAATGCTTATTTTAATCATCGTTTTTTTAACCAGATTCCTTTTTTGTCCCTGGCTTTGGCTAGGCATAAAAGCATGTGTGTTTGTGCATGTATATGTTATATGTGCACATACATGCAAGTGTGAGTATCTGAATGTGCCTGGCCACAAATGCCCCGTGAGTGGCATGCACATCCTTTGTACTCACACTCCTTATTTTTCCTTTCCAAATAACCAAAACTTACTTGAATTTCCTTTTTTTAATTTTAATAAGCTTTTTCTATAATATTAAATGTCTTACAGTATACAGGTAGACACTCCACCCAGTTGCTATACTCTTTTAATAATTTTATGTTTTTGTTAGTGTATTGCAGTTATATATAATAGTATGGCTCATTTTGATATAATCATAAATGCATATAGAATCATTTGTTCTTTTCACTCCCTAATACTTCTCCTTTTCTTTCCTTCCTCCCACTTCCTGATCCTCTTCCTCTCTTCTACTAGTCTTACTTCTATTTATTGTTTTTGTAATTGGTGCATTCAATACATTAAAGTGGAGTTCACTGTGGTATATTCATACATGCATACAGCATTAATTGATCAATTTCATTTTGAAGTTGCTTCCCTTATCCTCCCTTCCCTCAGCCCCTTCCTCTACTCTATTGTTCCCCTTTTTACTTTCATCTCTCTCCTCCACCCCTACTTTTTCCCCTTATTTCTTTTTAGCTTCTGCAAGTAAGAGAAAACATTCCTTGACTTTCTGAGTCTAGCTTATTTTACTTGGCATCATGTTCTCAAATTCCACCTATTTACCAGCAAATGACATAATTTCATTCTTCTTCATGGCTCAGCAAAACTCCATCATGTGTATATTCCGCATTAAAAAATAACCCATTCATCCGTTAATGGACACCTAGGCTGGTTCTATAATGTGGCTATTGTGAATTGTACTACTAGAAGCATTGGTATGCATTCATCACAATAGTATGCTGATTTTATTTCCTTTGGATAAATATCAAGAGGTGGGACAGCAGAATTACATGATAATAATTCCTTTCCTAGCCTCTTGAGAGCTCTCCATATTTATTTCCAAAGTCATTGTACTTATATACAGTCCCACCAACAATGTTAAAGTGTACCTTTAAAATCCTCAATCCTCACCAGCAATTTTTGCTTGTATTCTTTGATGAATGCCATTCTAACTAGACTGAGATAAAATTTCAATGTAGTTTTAATTTGCATTTCCCTATCTACTAACGATGTAGAATTTTTTCATATGTTTTTTGACCATTTATGTTTTTGCTTTTGAGAAATGTTTGCTTTATTTGTTTATTTATTGATTGGATTTTTTGGTGTTAAGTTTTTTGAGTTCTTTATGTATTCTGGGAATTAATCCCTTGTCAGGAGAGTAGCTAGCAAAGATTTTCTCCCATTTTGCAGGCTTTTTCTTCACATTCTTAATTGTTTCTTTTGCTGTGCAGAAGCCTTTTAATTTGATGCCATCCCACTTATTGATTCTTGGTTTTAGTTTTTGAGATTTAGCAGGCTTATTAAGGAAGTTGGTGCTGGTGCCAATATGTCTGAGGGTGGAGCTTTGTTTTCTTCTCAAAGTTGCAGTGTTTCTGTTCTAATTCCTAGGTTTTTGGTCCACTTTAGGTTGATTTGTGCATGGTAAGAGACAGAGATCTTGTTTCCTTACACACTTACTATTTTGATGTTAAATTCCAGTCTTTATTTTTTCTTGATGCATATGCAATTTTCTTCTGGCTGTACTATGTATACTTCTGATTTTTTAAACCTTACACTAGTATCTTATCAAATCTTCCCATTGTATCATCCTTTTATGAAAACATTTTAAGGGCTGCATGGTATTCCACTGTCTGATTAGATTGTTAAGTTATTAAAGCCATCTCCTCCTGAGCCACATGCAGGTTGTTTTTCTTCCTTTGCTATTATAAATAGTGAGCCATTAGGATGTTGTGATCTTTTTTCCAAGCAGGTTATTTTCTGGGATATGTGGCAGCATGGCTCCAGGTTGTCCTAATGTCAGCAGGCTGAGCACTTGTTGTCTGATCTTCACTCTCCTATTTTATTTCTTTATTTTGGTACCAGGGATCAAAGCCCAGGGTACTTAACCACTGAGCCACATCCCCATCCTTTTATAGTATTAGAAATTTTAAAATTTGAGATAGGGTCTTGATAAGTTGCTCAGGGCCTGACTAAGTTGCTGAGGCTTTGAATTTGTGATCCTCCTGACTCAGCCTCCTGAGTTGCTGGGATTACAGGCCTGCTCCACCAAGCCCAGCTTGACCTTAACTCTTTAAAAGTACTGAAATAAAAAAATCACTACTTTGGCCACATGAATTTGGTTCACATGATTTCCCTTTCTATGCCTTTATCTTCTTAATTGTCAATTTGGGGCTGCAATCAAGACTTAGAATTGGGACTGGGCATGTGGCTCAGGGGTAGAGATCCTGCCTAACATGCATGAAGCCCTGCATTCTATTCCTAGCATATCTCTCTCTCTCTCTCTCTCTCTCTCTCTCTCTCTCTCTCTCTCACACACACACACACACACACACACACACACACACACACAATTTGGAATTTAGCAGAATAAATTTATAAGCAGAATTATTTATAAGAAAAAAATGATTAACAACTGAACTGATATTCGAAGAGTGGAAAGGAATTATCAGCTTTCCAAGATAAGCACCCTCCTCTTCCACTACAGTAGTGACCAAGTATACAGATTAAAGTCATCAGCTTTCTGGGGACTCTTTGGAAGCCCACTCATGATCATATGGTTCAAGAACACCAGTAGATCATATGAAAATATTGTCTGCATATTCATCAAGATACCACATGGACAGTGTAAGCTGCTTTAATTATCTTTCAAGGAGAAACACAGCCGTCTCTGGCACATGTGCTCCACTCCACTGGCTCTGTTGGCATGTCACTGCCTAAACTGATATGGAAATTAGTTCAAAAGACAAATATTAAAAAGGGGTGGATTCTGTTATATTCTGCATTCTGCTTAGCAATTAGAAGTTGCCAGCCTGATTGTGTTTTTTTAAATTTTTTATTTATACCTTGAGGCTTTCCAAAAGACAATGACAATCCATGTTAGCTATGAAACTTAGGAGCTATTCACTTCTTAGGAATGCACAATGGGAAGGCATTCTCTGAAAATATGAAAATCCCATGAAACATTTCAAAATGTTCATTCAATAACTAAGCAACAAGGAGTATGGAAATAAACTCTTCATTTATGAACAGGTAATGAACCCTAACTGTTTTTGTACTTTGTACTCATTGATATACCAGAAAGAAACTGTTTATTACCCAGGAACAAAAATGGAATCAATAAAGTGATGTTCAAAGATGCTCTGGGCTTTAAAAAGTCAGCATACAATTTTTTTTTATTCCTAAAAATGGATGTTTTTTAACCTAAATTTTGAAGTAATGCTGTTACATCCTTGAATGTGAAGAAGTGAGAAGTAATTATCATCTATCTCTCTATCCCTCTGGGCAGGATTCAATTGTGTAACTGGGATTCTTCAGTGTAATAGAAAATAAAATTATAGCTAGCCTCTATAGGCTGCTAACTTCCAGAAAAAAACAAACTTTGAAATTATAAGACTTCTAAAAGCTAAAGGTAGACTTGAAAGAGTCACATTAAAACTAGAATTAGAGTACTCTGTGTACAATATTGAATTTCCAAATTATTAATGAAAACTATTAAAAGCTGGACAATGACAACAACAAACCTATTTAAGGGCACTGCAGAATGGTCCTCAGCAAGCAGAGACCAGAGTCGTCTCTAAGATTCAGTCCTTGAAACAAGGGTTATGTAGCCCCAAGCTAGCCCCAGGCTGCTGAGCATGGTGGGTAGATGGTCTGAGATTTTATAAGATGGAGTTCAGAGCTGTCAGAGTGGCTGGAAAAGGAGGAAGAAAATGCTGGAGAAGAGACAGCCACAGTAATGCAGTCCTAAAACAAGCATTGTTTCCCTCAAACTTTGGCTGATATTTTTAAAAACTCTGATATATGGAAGAGCTACAAGCAGTCCAGGGAAAGCAGCATGCAGATGATGAAAACAGTGAGCAGAGATTTAAGTGCTGACTACTGCAGGGGAGCAGAGTGTGGAGTCCCAGGTTCAGGACTTGGCAAACCTGTTGGACTTTCCCTTGAAACACCAGAGGGCCACACCTTTGGGTAAAGAGCAAGTCGCAGCACTAGGAATTTTCCTTGCAGCTAAGGGCAAAAACTAAATAGAACCACTCTAACAAAGCAGGGGGTAAATGGAATTATATTGTTGCCACTTCACATTTTAGGTGAAGTGGCATGATGTTAACTCTAAGCAGCCTGTGACAAATGAAAGATGCATATTATAATCATTAGAGGTAAAAAGTCAAGCCTCTCCAAGTTCTAGGTGATCCACTGGTAACTTACCTGCCTGCTAGACTAAAAAAATCAGTACTCTTCAATGAAGACAACAGAATATAATATTTCTACAATGTAGTATCCACAATATTCAGTATATAGTTAAAGATTATTGGCTATGAAATAAAAACAGGAAAATGTGATTCAGAGTCAAAGAGAAAAATCATTTTATTGAAAGTGGTTCCCAAATGAGTCAAATGTTGGAATTCAGAAAAGCATTAGGATTAGGGACAGGGATGTAGTTCAGTGGTAGTGCACTTGGTCCTGGGTTCTATCTCTAGCACTGGGGGAAAAAAAGAAAGAAAAGAATTTTAAAGCTGATATTATAACTACATTCAAAGAGTTAAAGGAAAAGAACAAATGAAATGGAAATGTCTTTCTTTCTCTTTCTCCTGTGTGAGTGTGCGTGTATGTGTGCATGTGCGCGCGCACACACACACACACACACACACACAATCTAAAATGAAAAAAATCACTGGATAGGCCTTATAGAAGAAGTAAGAATTGGTGAATTTAATGAAAGACAATATAAGTTATACAACACGTAGAATACAAGGATAAAAATACAATGAAAAGAACTTCAGTAACCCATAGGATAATATCAAACAGCATAATAACATACACATTTACAAAAGTCCCAAACAGAGAAAAAAGAGATAAAATAGGGCAGAAAGGGTATTTGAACAGTGACTGTAAATTGCTCAAATTTGATCAAAAACTTACCAATCAACTTATAGGTCCTAGAAATTCAGCAGACCTAAGCAGGATAAATGTAGAAAATCATATACAGAAACATCAGTCAAATTTCTGAAACCAAAGATAAAGAGAAAATCTTCAAGGCACCCAGAGGGGAAAAAAAGGGATGCAATACATGCAGGGGAATGTCCATAAGAATTACTGCTTACCTTTAATCAGAAGCCTGGAATGACAATGAATGACATTCTTAAAGGGCTGGCAGAAAAATAACTTCCAACCAAGAATCCTATATCTAATTAAACCATTCCTCAAACCCAAAAGTGAAATAAAGACATTTTCAGATAAGCAGAATCTGAAAGTATATGTTGCAAAGAAACCTTCGCTATAAAAAATACTGTGTGAACTTTTTTAGGCAGTTCTTCAGGAAACAATCTAGTTGGACATTTGGCACAATAGGGAAAAAAATGAAGTCTCAGAAATGTTAAAACTGGGTATAGGGCCTGGGGTGGTGGATCAGCGGTAGAGCACTCACCAAGCACTTGCAAGGCCCTGGATTCAATTCTCAGCAACACATAAAAATGAATGAATAAATAAAATAAGGGTATAGTGTCCATCTACAACTAAAAAAATTATTATAACAAACTAGGTATATACAAAACACTGAATTTTTTTCTCTTTTCATGGAAAGACAACAGATTGTTTAAAGTAAAATTGATAAAATTGTATTGTGGGCCTGTTATGGTTTAGATGTCCCCCTCCAAAGCTCATGTATGAGCCAATGCAAGAACATTTACTAGTGAAATGGTTAGAGTATTAAAGTTGTAACCTAATCAGGGGATTGATCCACTGATATGGATTAACTGGGAGGTAATAGGCAAGTGGGGTGTGGCTGGCAGAGGTAGATCACTGGGGCATGGCTTTGGGGTTTATATTTTGTTCTTGGTGAGCAAAGCCCTCTCTATGTGCTTCCAGATTAAAATGTCTTGAGCTGATTTCCTCTGCCATGCCCTTTGTCCATGATGTTCTGCATCACCTTGGGCCAGAGCTATGGAGTTGGCCATCTATGGTCTGAGACATCTGAAACTGTGACCCATCACCAAATAAACTTTCCATTCTTTATGCTATTTTTGTTAGGTATTTTGGTCTCAGCATCAAAAAAGCTAGCTAAAACAGGATCTTATAATGTATATACACATAAAATATATTCAAATATTAGCCTACAGGTGAGAGAGAAAATGGAATTGAACTGTTGCAAACTTATATTTTAGGTTAAGTAGTACAATATTAACACTAATTATCCCGTAGTAAGTTAAAGATGCATATTGTAATCATTAGAACAAAAACCCAATAGAAGAATGATATTAAATACTAAAAAAATATTCAGTTAATAAGAGAGGATGGGAGAGATAGAGGAATGAGAAACAGAATAACGGAAAACTGACCCATAAAAGGCAACATGGAATGAAGAAAACCTATGCTAAGCCAAACACCAAAGAGTTCTATGTACAAAAATATTCGAGATCAGTCAAAACTAATCTATGGTGACAGACATCAGAACAGTGGTTTCTTATGAGGAGTGGGGACCGACTGCCTGCCTAAAGACGCAGGAAAGAATTTTCTGGAGTGATGGAAACTGATATCTTAATTGAGGTAGTGGATTATACAAGAGTATAAAATTTATAAAAATGAGCATACATTTATAAAAACGCACAGAATTATGCGTTTAAAATTTTTGCATTTCACTGCGTGTACGTTTTTAAACGCTTCAAATCATTTGTGGAGCCTCCAGTTACAGACTTTTATCAACAGAGGGCGCTCCGAACCCATAAAACACAATCTGGGCCCCCAGATACTTTGGGATGCAAATCCAATAAGCTCCGGGCTCATCAGTCTCCATGGTGGATCATGCAGCTCCCCAGTTGCTCCCCCTCGACATCTCACCTTCCCACCCGTGTCTTCACTGGCTCGTCCATTTCACCTGGCCACACGCTGCTTTCCGGCTGATAAGCAGCCCTTAGCTAATGGCAACGATATATTCCGCTGCACCTATGTGGAATACAGATTTGGCTGGAGCTGGCCTGTGCTGCCTGGAGGTGTACCTATCCCCCTAAGGTCCTCTACTGATATGATCGCTTTTAAATGGGAAGTAGGAACGTAATGGAAACTTCCACACTGTTCTCAACATCTTTATTTTGCCCTTCTTACCTCCCCTTGGTAGCTGTGACATATTCCCAGGCAAAGGCTGCAGCCCAGGGGATGTAGGGGGGATAGCAGCACCAGAGAGGACAAAAAAGATTTTTTCCCCCAGGAAAATGGGGTGGGGGGCGTTACCCAGGGTTCCACTACCCCCAATTATTCTCTTTCTGCCCCCTCCTGCCTCACCCATATCTCAGAACCAAGCCCCCGACTGGAAAGCCCTAGAAGTCCTTTGCTCCTCGCCTATCTCCAGACCCGGTCTCTCCTGGGAGCTTGGAGATGCCATTACACCTCACGTGATCCCAGCGCTGGGCTGGTCCTTCAGGAGGTGTCTCGCGGGGTGTTAATTAAAGGTCACAACAAAATAGACCTCCCGGCTCACCAGAAGAAATGTCCTTCTGAGAAATGAAAAATGACACCCCGAGCAGCCTCGTGTGGAGCCTGACATATGCCGGCTTCCTGCTCCTCTGGGCGCTGTGCGAGGGGCTGGTGAGGAGGAGCGGTTATAGGGGAGGGGGCGTTGACTGGGTGCTCTGGAAACCCCACAGATCCCAGATGTGGGAAGAAAAGCGTGGAAGTGGGGTGAGGGGACTGACCCTGGGCAAGGAGAGGCCAAGGCCACTTCGGGCCACGCCCCCTCTTCAGGCCCGCGCAGTACGGGTGCTCCTGAGCAGCACAGGGAATCCCTCAGTTTCCCTGGCTCTCAGCGCCCCGCTAGGTCCTCGGCTCACCTGGGCCAGTTTAGTACTTCACAGATTAGGGTGCAGCCGGCGGGCGGGGCCGAAGGTCCCCAGTCCTCTGGCTGTGGTTCCGGAGGGAGGCTCCCTGGCTTGCCCTGGGGTGTTAGGGCAATTCTAGAAAAGGTTTGCTGGGCAGGTCTTGGAGAACAAAGGGCGGGGAGAGGACCCGGCATGTTTGCGGACTGTTTGTGACTCAATCCGTTTACACAGCGTTTCAAAGGCAGACCTGCAAGCCTTGCCAGGAAGAGAAAGAACTTGGGCGGGGAGAGGCTCAGGCACAGCATTTCCGCCCAACCACGCTCGCTCAGTGCTTCTCCTCAGCTCCAGGCTCCGCAGCGTTGTTTCTTTAGAGCCCCAGACACAGGCCACTCGCCAGTAACTTCCTGGCCAGGAGCAAGATTTAGGACCCCACCCCCCCACCCCCCCGCCGGGCCCTCAGCCTCCCAATGTCAGGCAGGAGCACCGCACCATAAAATGGATCCCGGCCTGCGCTGCGATCTCCAACCGGGGCAAGAAATACCGGTAAGTTGTGACGGGTTCAGACGCCTTACCAGACCCACCTCTGCCGGGGTCCTTTCCTTCTCCGGAAAGGGTGGCTTCGGCAGAGCTACCCCCAGGAGCCGACAGCCAGCGCGCGGGATGAGAGCTCTCCTCCCGCTGTAGGGACATGTCTGCTGTGTGCTGTGCGCGGAGGCGGGTCTGTTGCGAGGACACCCGCACACTCGCTTCGCTCTCAGATTTTTTTCAGTCGGTTTAATCCTTTCTTTTCCCTGGACCCATAACTTTTGCGTTATTCCTGGACTTCTAGGCAGATTTAAGCTGTAAAAAAAATGTTTCCCATGAATTCTCTGCCTTTGGTAGCACGGATCGTTTCTCGGAATCTGGGAGATCCCTTCATTTTACCGGCAGGATCTGGTGGGCTGTTCCCCAATGAATAAAAACCCATAAGTCACAGGACCCTCAGAATAGAGTCTTCTAGCACCTTGTAACTGGGTTCTTTCTGAGTGGTGGGTGCCAGGTCCAAAAAGCACGGGGCACTGAATCTGTGGGTACCCCCTGCAGAAACCGTTGAAAAACCCTTCAAGTAAACCTTTCTCCTGACCTCAGGCACCCAGAAACCGGCACCCAGAAACCGGAGCAGAGGTCACTCGGGAGGTGGGGAATCACCTTAGGACAATTAAGGAGATAGATGGAGGGCAACTTAGCTGCAGGGCTTGCAGCAGCCGGGAACCGGAGCCCGTGGGCTTTCAGCCAGGCCTCAGTGGCATGCGGATGCCTCGGCGGGCGGGCAGAATGGCGCCCCCAGGCCAGCCCAGCCCCAGAGAGCGGGAGTCCGCCGCCTCGCTGCCCCTGACACCCGCGTGTCTCCCCCTGCAGGTGAATGAGGTCTGCTCGCCCACCAAGCCTGCGGCTCCCTTCTCCCCTGAGAGCTGGTACAGGAAGGCACAGGAGGAATCGTTCTGGGAGCCGGCCTACGCCCGAGGGCGCAGGCTTGGCGCCGGGCTCGTTGGGACCCCGTTCCCCGGCTCGGGCACCTCGTCCCCGAGCTCCTTCACCGAATCCCCGGGTCCCGCCTCTCCGGGCATCAGCACTAGCTCGCCGGGCTCCCTGAGCGGCTCGCCGGGCTTTGGCACCGGTTCCCCGGGCTCTGGCAGCGGCGGCGGCTCCTCCCCCG